AGGCTGTGGTACTACATCTGCAAAACTCTCACAATCACTTTCATCTTGTCTCTGTTTCAGAGCTCAGGGTCTGAGCTGCGATCTCTCAATCAGTTTGGAAATGAAAAAAATTCAAATGCTAACAGGCTAACAAGTTGAATATGAAAGTGAAGTATGAGAAGTGTGATTATGCAACACATGGATGAGGCCCACCGAGTTTAACGAAAATAATGATCCAATTTGGGAAGTAAAGTTGAGCATGGCTAAAATCAGAAACTTTATCTAAAAGTGTGCGTGACATGTTTGAGCCTTGACCAGTGTTGCCTTAGAAGCCGCCATGCTAATGTAAAAGACATGGCAACAGGAGCCACTTTAGAAAAGCACCGTAGTCTGCGGCTGCGTCGAGATCGCTCCCTGGGACTGTGTCACCTGAACAAAGTTGTACAACTCCATAAAAACCACTCTCACTACTTATTAGCACTCATAGTTCCAGGATATATCTCAGTGACATTACATGGAAGAGCCTCCATCTCGCGGCTCCTACTTTTACGAGAGGATTGTTTATGTTAGCCAATAAAAATTCACAGGTGAAATCTAAAACAGAGTGATACCCGGCTCGCTCCGCCGTCTTGATAGTCGTGCCGTGTGCTGCCGAGAGCTCCCGGCTGGTAGTTAACACAGCTTACACACGGAGCAGAACAGGCCCTGCTGCTGTTGTCATTCCTTATGCACAGGCACTCTGCCATCACATTTATAGATTTTCGGTTTGATGGGATAATTTGATCTTTATATCTGTCACAAATGAAGTGATCCTCGGTGCCTCCCGTGCAGCTCGGTGTGCAGGTCCCATTTTCAAATACAGTTAATTGCATTTGAAAAGAATCAATGATACTTTGGCGGTGACAATATCATTCCTCTGATGTCACTTAATTTCCTCGGCGAAATGATTACATCAATAGCCTGCAACCCATTTCTACCTCTAAGCATGAATTAATCTATTAAAGACAATAATTACGTGTTTGTAATGGATAGCTTTTTGTGTGTGTTGTGTTGTGTTCTGCTCACACAGGTAAATGTAGTCCAGCCTGTGTGTGTGTGTGTGTGTGTGTGTGTGTGTCCTGACTGCCATTCATTCACTTTCTTTTTTTTTTAAATACCCTGTCACGCGGAGAAAATATATAAATATATAGATAAATAAATTAATAAATGCAATGTGTTTCTGCTGCAGCTGCTCTCGTGGCCTTGCTGTGAGGTAGCCCTCCCTCTAGTGGAGATGATGGAGCTGGTTACTGCTGTCAGCTGTATGTGAGTCTCTCTGCTCTGCACTGCTCCGCAACTGAGACACACACACACACACACACACACTCAGTCCATGATGAGAAAGAGAATACTCTCCTGAGACAGGACTTAACTGTAGGTATGAATACACACGGTTTAATACCAGTCTGATTTAAGCTGTCCTATCAGCCTGACCATTAATTGAACCGCAGTGATCATTAGTTAAAGAGCAATAAAAATGTTTATAGCTATGGAAATATTAGCATATTTAAAATGAGACCTTATTATGAATAATACATAAAAAATATAAAGGACATAAAAAAGGAGTCTATCTATCTATCTATCTAAAATGATATTTAAATACCAAAGTATTTTCATTTTTATATACACTAATATACCGAGAAAATTATTTGTATTTTTAAACAAAAGCAATTCGAACGTGGTACGTGGAGTTCGGTGGAACACCTGGGTTAGATGATACAGTGATCTGTGAGACAGACGCGACGCTGCTATTGTCCTGTTATTTATTCATCAACAATGGAAACCAGTGCGTCTGCAGTCACCTGCACTTTCCTCACACGTGAACCCACACGGTGCACCTCAGGTCTGCTGGACAAGAGGGACCAAATAGTAAAATAAAAAAATATATATAAATAAATAAAAAGGAAGCAAAAACTTAACATTGGAATTGTGATGCTTTTGTTTTTATTATTGCTGACAGGATTGAATCGTTAATAAACGGCATAAACTGAAAAGTAAATATAATAATGATAATAATTTAAAATACTTTCTGTATGTCATTATATTATAATCAATATTTTTTATTCTCTCTCTCAGATTCGCTCCCTTCCCTTGAACCGCTGTGACCCCGCTCACCCCGCGCCTGCTGCCGTTGGAGGTGCTCGGTTTGTTTTCAGGGTGTGCACCGGAGGAGGGGTTGACAGTAGCGGCGGCGGTGTGTGACAGCCGAGCGGTGCCTTCAGACGCGCGGAGCGGTGACACCAACATTCACAGCACGAGCACCAGCGCTAACGACTGACTCCTCCACAACCAGCACTACCTGGAGACTTCCCCTCCGCCTCCACCGCGCGCTGCGGTGTTTAACCAGCGATGTGACACAAAGGTACACTTGTTATAGTTTGTTTTCCTCCAAATACGGGTGTAGTTTCTTCTTCTTTATTTATTTATTTATTTTTTGTTAAACTATGCGTCAGCTCTGACGCACCTGTGGCTCTACTTTTTTTTAATGAGAATCGTGACGCCGAGTCAGGCGTGTGCGGTTCTCAACACTCAAGCTGAAACTGTACGGTGCTGCACTGAACTGTCCGCATCCCGGTGGGAATTATGGTGAGAGAATTACATTATCGATTCAGCCATTAGTTTATATGAGCAGGAGGAAGTTAAACACATCCACGGAGCTTTTAAGGGCCTGTGTTTTACGTCTCGACTGAAGACTTAAGGCACAAAATCGTCTTTGTGGCTTCATTTGGAAAGATTTCACGGTGACCTCTGTCTACTATATCCGTGTATAAAGCCACGAAATTACACCATATGGATTAAATAAACTGACGTTTAGTATATTTGGGTCAAGCTTTAGCTCTGTTAATATAAACAACGAGTCTAAAGGTGAAACACGCTAAAAGCTCTTTCTTGTATTTTTTTTCTCAGTACGTTAATTAGCTTAACGTTTTTCCGTTATAGACATTTCCAGAAATCTAGAACATTCCATCGCCTCAATACAATTGCATATGTACAGTATGTCTGGGAAGTACACTGAGTAGACAAGACTGCCGCTAACTAAGATTGTGTATATTGTAGAATAACGTAAGTAGTAATTTTTAATTAATTGACGAGTCACGTGGTACAATAAATGAAAGAAGAAAAATTGTGGGGTTAATAGACTAGCGACTAGATTATTTTTGTTGAATACAGTTGTTTGAAATAGATTAGAATCAAAGGTATTAGACTCTGGTTTAATCATTTATTCAATTTTCATTAGTTTGTCACGTGGTTGTATCAAAATGTTGGTCTCTGTGGTCACAAACTGAGAAAATGACGTCACACAATATCAAGATTAAACCAGATATGACCAGAAGAAACCAGAATGAAGAAAATTAGTTTTTGGCTCTTCTAATTTAATAAGCAAATCACTGACTAACTGTTGTTTCCTTAAAGAATGTCTTAAATAATTTTTATTTTAATCTAATTTAAGTTATTATTTTTCTATCTGAAGATATTTATACGAGAACCTGAAATCAAAGTGTTGTTTTTTTCATTTAATCTAAAAACTTAAAATCATCTGTGAAAATGGCTGCCATCTCATTTTAAATTCAATCAGTCAAATAATCTTTGCAGCCCAATTAAATCCAGGTCCAAGAAATGATGTAATTAAACAAGAACTTTCCAATCAATAAAACAAACAAATAAACATAATCAGAGACACGTTACAGTAGATTAAATTAAACACGGACTTTTAAACCGGCGTAGTCGTACTGCGCCAACTTTGTCATGCCTCACGTGATTGAGCGAGTGCCCAGCACAGCGCTATTTTTTATTTGTATCAGATCACTTCCTGTCAAATCAACTGTCACACGTCCTGATTTTTTTTTTCTTTTTTTCTTTCATAACTGAGCTGATAAGAAGGGCCGATAGAAGCAGCACTAGCAGCAGCGGGGCTTTCATAGCTCAAACTGTGTGACAAAAGTCTACGTGGTGCCAGTCGAAACGCCCGTGGAGGCCGAAGGAAGGATATGTAGCAAAGTGATTTGTCAAAGTGAAAGAGATATCAACCTGCTGAAAAGTACACAGGCCTGATACTGCAGCAGCAGCGGTGGTGGTGGTGGCGTGTCAGGAGGGAGAGCATCATTTCTGTGATTCTCTGGGGGTTAGAACTAAAACGCTTACTTTGGATGTTGTTGTTAGTTGAAACAGTTAAACTAAATATGAAAGGCTTTTTATAATTAATTCGTTTTTTCAGTAACAGGTGTTGATCAATGATATTCTGTATTTTTGGGCATTACTGTTTTTATATAAAGATATGCACGGTATATTTTGAATTGGTTTAAGGGCGTAATAGAGAATTTGAGTCTTTTTCCTTCTTGTTTTCCATTTGTTCAGTGTTATTTCACCGTCTGTCAGCCCTTGTTTCCTCGTTTATTTCGCTCCTCTGTCAGGACCTAAACTGGCTGGTGTCTGAGTCAGGTTTTCATTTATTTAGCCATTTGTATTTGTCACAAAAAGGCGAGCAGATGCTGTGTGATCCGCGCCACAGTGCAAGGCACCATTGCTGCACATCAATAGGCCTGTGATGATCAATGGGGATTGCGTGATGTTTTTGCATTGATTATGGAAACGTGAGCCGATGAATGGAACCAGATCTCTCTCCAGGGTTTATGCAGTTCCTGCTCAGAGAAGAGAAAACTGGAGAGCAGCAGAGCGACATAACACACCTTCCTTTTCTTTTTTTTTGCTTGCATGACTCTGCCAGTAGATCTCAACTCCACCTCTCTCACTCGTATTTTTGCCCAAGCACCTGAAGACGGTTGTCAGGCACCTCGTGAGTTTCTGAGAAGCGGAGAAGCAGCCCGTTCTCATCCTGCCTGGACCAGCTCAGCCAAGTTGTCAGCCGTTGTCGGACCGCTCACTTCTCCAATAAGATGCCATGGTAAGCTGCGCTCTTATAATGTGGGGATACAGTAACACGGAGACCCTCGGCGGCGGTGAAATGGGAGATGCATTACTGAGCTCGATCAACACTGAAACACAGGCGCTTCTAAAGCCGGGGGTTAGAGAAGACAGAGGTGGATTTTCTGCTGCTTTAGAAGCTGATGGTCTTCTAGAGTATGACTTATGGCTGGAGATCATCTCTCACAGGTGCTGAAAGGTCCACAATGCTCCCTCACATGTAGCATCCGCAAAATGGAGCTTCTTTGTGACACAGCTCAATAAATGTATGAACTGTCCCTTTAGTGGTTTCCGAAGCTGTTGTTTTTGGAAGTGAAGTTCTGGAGGTGCTATGGGTTGGTGACAGGAGCTCCTGGTGTTGCTGGTTTTACTGTATGCTTGTATGATATTGTATAGTCATGTATGTTATTGGTTGAGTTTGTTTTTGGAATTGTTTGGGCACTTTTGTTGAATTTTAAGGACAGAATTTTTGAGTTTATCAACTTCAGAGAAACAGTGAATGTAGTTAAATTAAAAAAATGCACAATTTTACCTGAAATTTAAGTATAACAAATATACTGTTTCCTTGCTGCAAGGAAAAATTAAAAATATTCTAATAATAATAATTTTCATTAACGGACTGTGGCTGATGACCTGCATTACGATTTAAATTTGACTTTTAATCTGCACATTTTTATCTGTATTTATTATAATTGAGATGGAAAACTTTGTCCGTCCACTTGTCTCCTGGTAGCTCCAATGTTGTAGCGGTGTTTGGTTTTGTCTTTTTGTGTGTGTGTGTGTCTGTGTGTGTGTATGAAGGAGAGAGAGAGTCATGTGTGCAGCGTGTTTGTGTTTTTTTTTTTTTTTTTCTCCCTTGCATAGCCAGGCAGTGTGTTTGGATCCCACCTCCCTCTGCTGCTCTGCCGGCCCCTCTGTAGCTTTAAGTCCTGCCCCTCGGAGCCAGCCGACAGCAGCTGTTCCATATTCATCAAGCCCTTGAGTCTTAAAGAGCCCTATCCCGAGCATGGAAAGAGTCATTCTTCTAGCCGCCGCTCTCAGGCTCTCTCCATCTTAGCGCTCATCCCACTGCTGCCTGCACTTCTCTCTCTCTCTCACTCTCTCTCTCTCTCTCTCTCTCCCCTACTCAATCCCTCCCTCCCTTTATCTCTCTGTCTCTCTGTCCCTCCCCCTCTTCACTCTCTCCCTCGCTCCCTCTGTCATACACGCGCATTCACTCACATTCACTCAGACAGGCACTTTTTTCTCTCACTCACACACACTGACGCACACACACGTATATAAATACATATACATAAACACACTACACATGCTTACACACATACACACGCTGCATGCCCACTCAGTCCATCCAAGCCCGACATACCTGTGCAGGCTGGGGGTTACACTGCTGGACGTGCTGTGGTCCAGCGCTGTCTCTGAGCGTGCTCTGCTGTCATTTGGGGGAGAAGCGGGTCTCAGTTGTTTCCTCTTTCCTCTTCCTCTCATTCCTGGAATGCTAAAACTGGACTGATGGACATTTCAGAACTTTGTCTTCCAGACCCTCTCAGCTATCATAACCAGTAGGTGCACTTTCTGTCTTTCTTTCCTTCCTTCTTTGTTTTCACTTTTATTTTTAACTTCTTTCAATTTTTTTTTTTGGTAGTTTCTGTTTCGTTCTCACACACATGTCCACTTTTTGTCTGCTCTTTTTTTTTTTATAACTTTCTTATTTCTTACCGGTGGAGACACTGAACTTTTTTCCACATTTCCACATAACGGAACACATTTTCATATTTGTTCAGCTTTTCTTTTCTAACACACTTCCACTCACACTTGTTCACACTCCTAATCTTTTTCTTGATGCACAATTTTAAAGGCAATTTTAATCACAAAGGACTAAAACGTACAGAGCAAGGGAACAGGTTCAAACGTGTGTGTGTGTGTGTCCTCTCTATCTTTGTGTGTGCGTGTGTTGTCATCTGTCTTTACAAATCACAAACCATGAATGATTCATTTAACATCGCTCCCTGCAAAGCATTTTTTTTTTCTAAAGAAATTTGGATACCTGTCCAGTTGTGTTAGGAGTCCTTTTTTCTTGACGGCTTTGTTCTTCCTTTAATCTGGCCTCCCACGGTGCTGAAGAATATATTAAAAAGATTAGATTAGTGGAAAACCAGGGATTAGGTTGGTATAATTTACATACTGTAAAACTGTATCTGTAGCTTCTGAAAATGATCAGGTTGATCCAGACGAGAGCCAGCGGGCTGTCAGCTCTGATCCAGGCAGCGGTGTGAGTGCGAGGGAAGCTGCTGCCTCAGTCTGTCCCTGCTGCTCGGTCTGTGTGGACTTAGACGATATAGTTCTTAAAATATATAATAATAACATATATAAATAATAGCAATTCAATTCACATTATAAAGGACCCTTTTTATTATTTTTTAAATTTGAATTTAAAAGTCTTATTGTATTCACCTTAACTATAAAATGTCTTGAACTTTCTGCACCTTTTGTTTCAGTTTCAAATAATTTCACATTGTTTTTCATATTTCAGTAAATATCGTGATGATGATTTCTAAATCCCACTCTGAAAAATTTGCAGATTAATCTATGTACATTTTTACCTTATAAACGTAGTATAGTCATTTTCAAGGCAGAATTTCTTTTTAAATTAATGTTAAAGCAAATCAAAAATGTAAGATGTTAAATAGCATGGCATTTGAATGAAATTGAATATTATCACTTTCTTTGTTTAGTTTTAATTACTGCAAAGTTCCAAAAACTCTGTTTATATCAAACATCCATGTAATTTCCGCTTTTTGCTGGAGTCCAATTTTGTGCATGTGTTAATTTTCTCTTGATCTTGAAGTCATCAAAAAACAAAGGTATTTTAGATATTCATAAACTATTCAATTAACTATTCTATTAAAAACCACTGAATGAAGAAATGATTTATCTGTTAATCGTTTCTTAGCAGAACATCTCCAGTTCTTATAATACATATATAAAACAAAGCAGGGAAACCTTACCTGTGTCACAGTTCAATTTCAGAGATACCTTTAGTTAAAGAATCATTTTAACTGGCCCTGAAAAAATAGACCTTATAGTTGCTGTTCATTAATTTATAAATATCTTTGTTCAGTTCCTGACTTTTCTGCAGCTACAGACATTAAAAATAAAACCAGTTCTCTTCAATACGTCTAAATGCACACCTGTCACGCCATAAAATGTGTTAGTAATTAAATGATAAAATAAAAAAATGGCAACATTTTTTGTGTTTCTGATATAAGCAGTAAATTGCATAGTGAATCTTTCATCGGACCAAAACGTCAGCAGTATCGTGATTTGAGGCGATGATGTGAACAGGATGTGATAAAATGAAAGTTGATGCATTTTTATGTCTCGTTGTCTTTAAGTCGAGTCCAGTCGCTTTAAATTCTAGGACAAACGATTTCCTTAATAGTTGGGGGTAAATATTTACTTGTGTTTGAAGACTTTAGATAATGAAGGTGTGTGTGTGTAGATCATGTTTAATTCAGATTTTTTTTAATTTCATAACACTTGAAAATCAGTGCAGTTTTTAAACAAACCAAAATCTCTTTTTTCCCCATTCTTTTCTATTCTTTTTCTAAAAAAAAAACACCTTTTCTGCTTGTTGTTTCTACAGCACTGGGTCAAATTAGTTATTAATCCAGACTGAGCTCTGGCTCTTTTGTCATATTTGTGCAGCCTCTCACTGAGGGCTGGATGTGGCCGCGGTGCTGAACTGACAGGATTAGAAAGGTTGTGTGTGTTCTGTGTAATTAGCCCCAACATTGTTGTAGAATCATCGCAGTATTCAATCCACTGAACACGGGCGTCACCATCACTGGAAGAGTTCTGTCCTCGTGACAGAGGAACACAAATTAGATTTGATTTGATATTGTGAAAACACAAGTTTCACTGAAGGGGAATTTGCATGTTGTTTCATCTTTGCTGGATTGAGTTAGTTCAAAGTATCACTGACTTTTTCATTTAATATATTTTGGTGACATTGCTGAGACCTGACACACATAAATAAATCTTTGTTGACTTTTGTTTGTGTCTCTGTGCAGGATCTGTTTGTCATTTTAAATTCCTGTTTGCCTGGCAAACACACATTTTGTCTGATGGACAGTAAATACAGTGACTTGTTCTTTTTTTCCTTTTTTTTTTCCCCTAAATGTTGCATCAACACTCTGCACTGAGTGGCCTCTGTAAACATTGGATTTTTCCAGCTTCTGTGTGTTCTTTTTTCTTTTTTTTCCCAGACACGCAGAAAGAAGTTAGCACACGATGATGAATTAGATTTTAATTTATTTGACTTCATTCCCAGCTCGCTGCATTAGAGGCTGAAAACACCCGCGCAGCCGTTTGTCTGCTCCAGTCTTATTAGGTTTCAGAAAACAAGGCGAGGGAATTGCATTAGCTTGTCTTAAGTTAAAAGCTCTTTGCTCTTTGACCAAGTGTTTCATTGTTATTGGGTTAATCAGATTTTTGCTGTCTTCATGGAGATGCTATCGCAGGCTAGAGGCAGTGGTGGGTAACCAAAGCAGCCGTGCACAGACACTATCCAGATGGGATCATCTTACGGTAATTTGGTTTCGGAATACATTACCAGAAGAGGCTCCTGGCCGAGAACGGCCGTCCCGCTACGAGCCAGGAGCCCGGGGGCACCGT